GAGAGGGGGTGCCATGCCCTCCAGAGGCAGGAAGGGACCACCGTGGCCCAGACCTGCCTGTGCCCGGGGCCTCCAGCTCCCGGGCCCCGCCCCGGAATTCTGAGCAGAGAGGTTAACAAGCGGGCTCCTGTTTCGTTACTTGTTCGCAAACATGTCGCTGCTGTTTCTTAAAAATATATATTTTTATTGATTGCAGAGAGGAAGGGTGAGGGAGAGAGAGAGAGAAACATCCATGATGAGAGAGAATCATTGACCGGCTGCCTCCTGCATGCCCCCTACTGGGGATCGAGCCCGCAACCCAGGCATGTGCCCTGACCGGGAATCGAACCTGGGACCTTTCAGTCCGCAGGCCGACGCTCTACCCACTGAGCCAAACCAGCCAGGGCTGTAGCTGCTGTTTGGTTACTTGTTTGCACACATGTAGCTGCTGTTGGTTACCTGTTTGCACACATGTAGCTGCTGTTGGTTACCTGTTTGCACACATGCAGCTGCTGTTGGTTACCTGTTTGCACACGTGTAGATGCTGTTTGGTTACCTGTTTGCACATGTGTAGCTGCTGTTTGGTTACCTGTTTGCACACATGTAGCTGCTGTTGGTTACCTGTTTGCACACATGTAGCTGGTGTTGGTTACCTGTTTTGTGCCCTGACCGGGAATCGAACCTGGGACCTTTCAGTCCGCAGGCCGACGCTCTACCCACTGAGCCAAACCAGCCAGGGCTGTAGCTGCTGTTTGGTTACTTGTTTGCACACATGTAGCTGCTGTTGGTTACCTGTTTGCACACATGTAGCTGCTGTTGGTTACCTGTTTGCAAACGTGTAGATGCTGTTGGTTACCTGTTTGCAAACGTGTAGCTGGTGTTGGTTACTTGTTTGCAAACATGTAGCCCTGAGGCTGCCTCGCTGATCTGCCGGCTTTGACCTTCTGACTTGTAACCATACGTTTATGGCTCCGGCTCCGTACCAAGCGCACGTGCTCATATATGCTCCGGAGACCGAAGCCAAACAATCTCATGCGATACAAGCTGGCTTCTCCCTCCCTATGTAGCATGTGGGGTACGCATGTGGTGGGAGCCAAGCTATGGACGGCGGCTCCATACGGAGCAGCCCCAGGTAAGGGCCACCCGGGCCTGCGAGAGCGGGTGTGCCGGACGGCGTGCTGTCTGTCCGCCCACAGGCAGGGCTGGGCTGTGCTCACTCATTTTGGTGGCAGCTGCACCATCTGCCTATGTCCCCGCTGGTCACTGCAGGGGCTCGGGCCCGGCCGGCGTGGCTCAGTGATTGAGCGTTAACCCATGAACCAGGGTTCGATTCCTGGTCAGGGCACATGCCCGATGGCGAGCTCGATCCCCAGTGGGGGGCGTGCAGGAGGCAGCCGATCCATGGTTCTCTCTCATCATGGATGTTTCTCTCTCTCTCTCTCCCTCTCCCTTCCTCTCTGAAATCAATAAAAATATATTTTTAAAAATTGATAAAAAAACAACAACATAGATCTTCGGATTAGAGAGCTTTAGGTGACATGACTTAAAAGTGTGCAGCTGCACCCTGGCTGGTTTGGCTCAGTGGATGGAGCGTCAGCCTGCAGACTGAAGGGTCCCGGGTTCGATTCTGGTCAAGGGCACATGCCCGGATTGTGGGCTCAATCCCCAGTGAGGGACCTGCAGGAGGCAGCCACTCGATGATTCTCTCTCATCATTGTTGTTTCTCTCTCTCTCTCTCCTCCTCCCTTTCTCTCTGAAATCAATAAAAATATATTTTTAAAAA